AACTGGCAGATATTCCATTTATAGAAGATGACTTAAGTTTAGAGAGATTAAAGTGACTTGCTTGCCCAGGTCTTCTTAGTAAGAGATAATAGTCTGTCCTCTGGTTTAGGCAGCCCTAACTTTCAACCCTGGCCCTGCCATTTAGTAGCTGTATTACTTAACCTCTCTGAGCTCTGAGTTTCTCATCTGTAAAATGGGATACTGGAAATTAATTCACAGGGTTCCTGTGAGGATGAAATGTGACATGAAATTGTGCCCTTTTATTCTTGACATTGATTAGGTAGTTGGTGACTTACAGTTTTCACTTGCCTTTCTTCATTGAGTTGAGGAGATCTTCGGGAATGTACTCTGTACCTTATAGGAAATTTGAATTTAATCCATTTGGGTTGCTAATCATCATGTTGGTGTTGGTGTCTGGTAGCAAGAGTAGATGCTGTAAGACAAGTGAATCAGTGTAGAAGGTCTTGCTAGGAGAATGTAGCTGCTTCTAGATAGATCATCTTTTATTCCATGGTGCCTGGCACCCATTTTTGTTGTAAATGGTTGTTGAACTCCTAAAGATAGGAATAGGATCTTAACTGGACTGATAATAACTCAGTAATTTTTCTTAGGTTTGACTTTGGAGCTTTTGCAAAGGAAGGTGTGTTTTGGGTTATAACAATACCTTCCATTGCCCACTCAGTGCTTTAAATTAGTTCTTAAGCCATCTGAAGAGCTCAGATTTCAAAAAGTTTTTTTTTTTGAAAAGCAACCAAGTGAGTTGCTCAGTTTAAAAGGAATAAAAAAGGTTAAAAAAATTTTTTTTTTTTTTTAAACTGAGGTAGTCTGAAGGCGTTGTGAGTATAAATGGCTGACTCAGATGCTGGCTCTGGGAAAGTCTTCTAAGGAAAACCATCACTTTCTCATCTTTTATTCTCTTGAGATCTTCTGGAATTGAATTTTACTACCTAAGGTAGTAGCTTAGAAAAGACAAATAGCGATGAGACCTTCCTTTGGGAGTTTATTCAGGACTAAGGATAATATTTTTCTTTATATCCTTAGTGGAGACACGTGAAAAAAGCACCAGTTTGCTAACACATGGAATTTCTAATGTGAACTTCAAATCTCTAGTTTTATAGAAACAGGGTAGCACCATGGTTTTTTTTTTATTTAGGAACATGACATTTAATATGCTTCCATGTTAAAATTGCATATTAAGGGTATCAGGCAGTTATGTCAATGAAAACAACCTTTAAAACTGTAGGCCATTGTGTGCTTGAATTCAGTGGTTATAGCCATTCTTTTTATTTAATATATTTTTATTGATTTCAGAGAGAGGAAGGGAGAGGGAGAGAGAGATGGAAACATCAGTGATGAGAGAGAATCATCGATTGGCTGCCTCCTGCATGTCCCCTACTGGGGATCCAACCCCACCCAGGCACGTGCCCTGACTGGGAATCTAACCGTGACCTCCTGTTTCATAGATCGACACTCAACCACTGAGCAACACTGGCCGGGCTGTAGCCATTCTTAAACTTTTTGGTGCAAAGAATCGCCCAGAGACCTTGTTAAAAATGCTCATTCCTAAGGGTGCCTTCTCTTGTCTGGGCAGGGCCTTGGAAATGTGTAGCTCAGATAAGCACCAGGTGGTTCTGATAGAATTTTACATAATCTCTCTGGATAATGAGAATAAACTCAAAGTTAGGAAGCCTTTCTCATTGTGTTTGGAGACTTAGGACCTTTTAGATTTTAAAATCAATGGTAAGTGAATTTTTTTTATTAAAACTACCATTGATCACTTTTTCTTCCATTGAGCACAGGTGAAGTAGTTGGCTTTGTGGCAGTAGGTCTCAAACTTTACTGTGCATCATTGTCACCAAGGTGATTATGGTGCTGATCTGGAGTGGGGCCCGAGAACTTGCATTTCTAACAGATTCCCTGGTGATGCTGAAGCCCATGGTCCGGGCACCACACTTTGAGAATGACTGGTTTATAGGAAAAATATTAATCATCAAGCTCTGGCTTTTTTCTGGGCAGATGATAAGCATATGCTAAGAGCATTTGAGAAGTGGGTCAGACTATAGAGAGAGCAGAGTCACACCTCAAGACAGATACAAAGCACATGCTTAGTGATTGGAAAAGTGGATGGAATTGTTCACATTATTTAAAACTCAAGTGCACTTAGTTGCATTTATGCATGTTAATTTCGTGTACGTTGAACACTGCTGTGTTTTTCTTGGCATAGTAGGCACCTATTTTAACCTCTCTTCTGGGTTGTAATCAAACTCCCTAAGAGTTGTGGTTGTGCTTAACTTCTTAGAGGCTTCATAGCCTGGATATAATAATTGGTACATAAATACGTATCTGCTACCCAATTTCAACATGACAGACTAAAAGACTAAAATTCCTATGCCCGTTTTTTTCTTCTCTGTAAATGGAAATGTCTTTCTGTTCTTTGGAATTGTTTTGGCCTCAATATTTTGTTGAAAGAGAGAGAGAGAGAGAGAGAGAGAGAGAGAGAGAGAGAGAGTGTGTGTGTGTGTGTGTGTGTGTGTGTGTGTGTGTGTTTTAGCAGGCTTAATTCACATTATTTTTCTTGTATAAAATTATGTGGTGGCGACAGCGGGAGCCTGGGTCCTCTGCACAGAAACTCTGGTGTGGGTCTTTACAAGATGGTCAGTGAATTCCTGACAGGGAGGCTTTGGTGAACACAGTCTCTTTCCAGAGATCTGGGGTGAGATAGCTCTAGGTCTTAGAGGTGGCATCAAAGGTGGCCTTGGCGAAGTTGCCCAGGGTGGCAGTGCAGCCCCTGGCCGAGGTATAGCCATCGTCAATACCGCCATCATCAGCAACTTCTTAGGCACAGGGGCCGAGACAATGCCAGTACCCCTGGGGGCAGGGATGAGGCGCACCAGTACAGAGCCACAGGGGCCTGTTACCTTGTACGGTGTGGGGCTTCCCGATCTTGTTTTCCCAGTAGCCTCGACCCACAGGGACAATAGAGAGCTTGGCCAGGAGAATGACTCCACTGATGGCAGTGGCTACTTCCTTTGAGCACTTAACACCCAGACCAACATGTCCATTGTAGTCCCCAGTGGCGACAAATGCCTTGAACCGGGTCCTCTGGGCAGCACCTGTCTGCTTTTGCACAGGCATGATCTTCAAGACCTCATCCTTGAGGGATGCCCCCAAGAAAAAGTCAATGATTTCAGATTCCTTGATGGGCAAGGAGAATAGATAGATTTCCTCTAGGGATTTGATCTTCATGTCCTTGACCAGGCGGCCCAGCTTGGTGACAGGAATCCACTCCTTGTCCTCGGCCTTTCCTCCAGGAGCTCCGCGGCCTCGGCCCCTGCTCCGACCCCGGCCGCAACCCCAGCCCGGGATGCCGCTGCCAAATCCTCCACCGAAGCCGCCAGGACCTTCTATTCCCGGGCCTCTGGCTCTCCCGGCCCTTCGCAGCACCGGCTTCATCCGCCATTTGGTGTTTCGTCAGAAAAGAAGCATGTGTTTGTGTTTTAAATGACTTATAAAGCGTGTCTTTTATCTAAAAAAAATAAAGTAAAATAAAAGACTCGGGAGTCATTTCTGTTTAGCAGAGAAAGTTTTATTTCAGAGTGAATGATTAATTTGGAGTGATTACTTTGGGAATATGCAAAATTCTCCAGATACTACTCACTATCGTCATGTAGATTGTTGTCAGAAATGGCCTGTTTTACTGGCAGCTTCCTAGTAATGCTTTGTACTGTTTGGGCATCTGTCCATGTTATTAGACATGGGCTTCATAGAGAAGAAGGTCTTACAGATATTTATGGCAGGCTTATTACCTGAAGCATGTACAGAGAGTTAAGAGACACACTCTGCAGTTAGGTGCTCATGGGCTAGTTGAGAAATAGATGGAAACAGGTGAACAGTAGGTTTAAGAGCCAGCTCAGGACAGAGACGGAAGAGAGATAACTTTGCATCTGATGCACATTGAAAAGCCAATAAATGTTCATTAATGATGGAGGGAAGTGGAAAATAAACCACAATAGACCTTGGCAGAGAAGATGAGAATGACTTGTTTGGCCTGGGATTTGGAAAAATATTATATTTGGCTATGAGGTTATTACTCTTGCAACATTTTATCTCTTTGAGTGAAGAAGCTTGTAATTATATCCTAAGAATAACTTTAAGTGCTATTTCTTAATCTGGGAGGTTTATGGTCTCTAAGATATCAAGGCCAGGTTTCAGAGGGATTGTGGAAGTTACATTGATGAAGTTGAGAAGAGTGTTTTGCGAGTAGTTCCGTGAAGAGGGCATTAACTTTAGCCCTAATGTTAAATTCTCTGATAGTCTGCATTCTTCCTTCTAGCTTCTTTAATATTTACTGTAGGCAGAAGAATAAGTAGTGAGTCTAGATTCCTTAAGAGCTGCTTAGAGGTGTGTGTCTTCAAGTCAGAAGTAGGTGGAGAAGGGAGGGTGGAACTGGGGTTTAGTGATAGTCAAAGAAGTCTTCCGGGAGCATCAAAACAGAGATTCTGGGAGGTTCTCCGTTTTGAGATAAGTTACCTTATCTAGAATTCCAGATGTTACAACTGTTCTTGATTAACCTGTGTTTTAGCCAAGTGATGGGGGAGGCAAATGATGAACTCTTGTTTCTAGAATTGTGTCATATCAAGGTATAATGAAGGAGACAGAGAGCATCAGCACCAGATTTCTTCATGGCCAAAACAATTTGTTTAAGTTATGGAGTCACTCAGGAAGGTTTTTCATTCATTTTAGGAAAAGTTGGAAAATGGAAAATCTGGATCTGCACGTGCTCAGAATAATCCCTCGTGAGAGCCTTCTCACTTTTTAAGTCGGTGGGAATTATATCAGCTTTGAACTTTGTGGAAGCAGGAATTATAGTAGGAAATAAGGAAGCCAGTTATTTTTCCTTTTGGGGATAAGCTGACATTTAATCAGTAACCAATTTCTAAAGTTAGTGACTTTACTGTTCAGATTTATAAAAATAGAAAATATATATCATGTATCTAATTATCTGATTTCTCTTTTTTTCTAGGAGGTGTGATTGCCTACATCAGTTCTTCCAGCTCAGCCTCTAGCCCTGCCTCTTGTCACAGTGAGGGATCTGATAACAGTTTCCAGTCCTCCTTCTCTTCTGTTCCATCTTCTCCAAATAGCTCTAATTCTGATAACAATGGTAATCCCAAAAGTGGTGATCTCTCCAGTATTGAAGGCATTCTGAAAAATGATCGAATAGATTGTTCTATGAAAACAAGCAAGTCAAGTGCACCTGGCATGACAAAGAGTCATAGTGGAGTGACAAGTAAGTGTCTTTAGTTTTCTAAAGGTTGGTGCCCTTAATTGCAGGTGGGGCTTACTTTATCAATTCTTCATTTGGGGGAACCATTATATTTGGGAATATGATTTTCACTCCTTTCCGAGTAATACTAGTTCAGTAGTTAGGTAAGAAATCAGTGATGGTTTTTAAAGTTACAGCTTCAAGCAGTTGTCATAACTGATCCTTGCCTCAGAGTGAGAGATGGGGTTATATACTGTGCCTGACCATGTATCCTCTACAGTTAGTTTCCCCTTTTGCCACATTTTCACAGTTACTACCTTTCTTCTGGGCTCCTAGTACTGAATCTGGTGTCTAGAACAGAGTACTTACTCGTTATGGGAAGGGGTTTCCTTTAATGAAGTTGGAGCTAGGAACATTGGGATTTGGAAATAAAGCAGGATTTGTGATAACTGAATGAGTAGTGGAATTTGGACCCCTGAGTGAGTGTGGAGGTAAGATGGGCTGGTATAAGAGAAGATCAGGAAGGAATAGGATCTATCTAGTGCGTGGACAGCAGCCTGTGAAGACATCGTTTGCATTTTTTTTTTATTGATTGATTTCTCCATTCTTATCCAGGAGAACGGTTTTCTTAGTTCTGGTTGCATATCTGGTGTAAAGTAACTTTAGATTTACAAAATTTCAGAGTATGTTTAAAATCATCAGGAAAGGGCAAAATCAGCTTTCTGAAATATTTTTGGTCCCATAAACTGAGTTTCAAAGAAAATCATGATGTCTTTTGATTTGTTAATTTGGTGTAAGGAATTTTCTTTTAGGTGATAAAAGTACATTTGTGTCTATTTAAAACACAAGTTGAAAAAAATAAAATATTCAATTGGAAAAAAAACAAACAGTTGAAAATCTTCTCCTGTCTTTACTTTTGTTTCTGTTTGTGCCTTAGAATTTAGTGGCATGGTTCTTCTGTGTAAAGTCTGTGGGGACGTGGCGTCGGGATTCCACTATGGAGTTCATGCTTGTGAAGGCTGCAAGGTAAAAGCATGCTTTGGTCTCTTTAAGCTACTGATTCTGGAATTAAACAAGTTGGAGTTTGGTTTGCCAGTTTTCACAGTTGATAACCTGGGAGGAGGAGAGAACTCATTGCTCTTCTTTACCTCTTAAGCGTTTTATGTAGTTATAAACATAACTTGTTTTGAGAAATAGGTTTTTAATTCAGTAAAAAGTACTTTTTAAAAAAGATTTTGATCAAAATAAATTTTCTGTCTCCCTCAAATTTAATTATGGTATGAAACTATGTGCACAAATGCTTATTTATTAATGCACCAACTGCTGTTCTAGGTGGTAGGGAAACAGCAGGGAGCAAAACAGACTTGCTTTATTGGAACTTGGTTTAGACCAAACTTTGAATAGGTCTTATCAGATACATTATCATTCTGACATGTCAGGTACTAGGAGTTGGGAATAATTCCTAGATACTTATAAAAATGTGATGTCTTTGGAAGTAATGCCAAGTGAGTAAAAGAAACTTGGATATAAATTAAATTCTTGGGAAAGTTTATTATATTTGTAAGTTTAGTTGAATATTTCTTAGAGTGTCCATCAGATAATTCCATGGGAGATAGTCTGTACTTACATCCAGGGAATCTCTCTTTGTCTTTTTAAATCTGGCACAATCCTTTCTCCTGAGTGTCAGAATTAACTTGGCCAAGGCAGGTGCTCCTGCTCTTCTCTGACTGAAGGCCAGAAGCAGGAATCCAGTTTGGCAGGACACGTTGGGTGAGCAAGATAATGAATATACATGATGAAAGAAGAAATATTTTCTAGGGTGGCTCTTAATGAATTGTGGTTTTGCTAATTCTTAATGGTCAGGTCACTTAACAAGCTGGTCAATATTGTATATAGATGCAGCAATTTTCCACTGTTTTAAAAATTATTTAAACACTTTTTTTTTGTTTTCTCTCGAAAATGTGAAGTAATTATGGGGCTAGAGAAACAAAAGCACAAGCCAATAAGTCTAATATAACTGCTCCGTACTCTCTTAAAGGTGTGTCTAGCTCAGATATTGTAGTGTCCAAGTATAGTACCACAGTAATAAAGTCTAAAAATGCCGTATCCCACAAGTACTAATAAGATTCATGAAATGTGTGGTTAGTTATGATATTCAAGGAAACTGCAGTTCAAGTTACTTTCAGTAATTTGTTCTTGACTTTTCCGTTCTCCTTGGAACTGTTAAGCTGGGGATCTTTGAATACCTGTCACAGCACATGCACTTACTTTATTTGTTTAGTGAAGGCAGTAATCTGTAGCCATCTAGCTGGGAACTCTTTTCCTGGATCATTAGTTGGTCTCTGGTGTGACACTTACCTGTTGCTGGCAAGCAACCAAGAACATCTGGCACATATAAGCAGTCCTTGCAGGTGTCAGCAGGTAATGATCTAGGGAAGACCAAGCTTTACTAACGTAATCCTTCGTTCCAGTGAAGGGATTACTATAGCTATGGAACATATTTTTCTGTTAACTCTTTGAAAATAAGCCCTATTTCAAGAGTTTTGGAATTTATATGTGATTAAAGTATGGGCTGCGAAATGTGGCTGCAGGCAGGGGCTGGTAACAGGGGAAAGTGTAGTAGAAGGGGTGCTTGGAAAGCAGCAAGAGTCTGCAAAAAGGAAGAAAGGGAAGAGGGTTTTGTTCAGCTAGTAGATATAGGTACTTATTGATACTGGTAAGAATGCAGGCAAATCCCATGGGTCGAGATTATATTTCCCTTGGGTCTAAGCCAAAATTATATCTCAGGTGTGGCTAGTAATGGATGGTTAGGGATTGGAGGAGGCTACTTATAAGGACTTCATCTGGGTGTTTTTAAATGAATGGGTGCATCTTCCTTTGTTCTTAGGGTTTCTTTCGGAGAAGCATTCAGCAAAACATCCAGTACAAGAAGTGCCTGAAGAATGAAAACTGTTCTATAATGAGAATGAATAGGAACAGATGTCAGCAGTGTCGCTTTAAAAAGTGTCTGTCTGTTGGAATGTCGAGAGATGGTATGTTCCCAGTTTATAGAGCGTTCTTTCTTAGAGCACAGGGGCTGGCTTTTATTCCTCAGCATAAACCAGAGCTATAAACCAGTTACCAGTGGCCCTCTCATGCTTAGGGTGAAGCAGATTTTAGAAAACACATTTTAATGCCTTGTAGGATGCCAAATTCATTAAAGTCAAATTTTAGCATCAACATTCCAGGAACAGCTTTGGCTCACTTCTTTTCTTTTTTTTTTTTAATATATATATTTTTTTATTGATTTCAGAGAGGAAGGGAGAGGGAGGGAGAGAGAGAAACATCAATGATGAGAGAGAATCATTGATCAGCTGCCTCCTGCACGCCCCCTATGGGGATCGAGCCTGCAACCCAGGCATGTGCCCTTGACCGAATCGAACCTGGGATGCTTCAGTCTGCAGGCCGATACTCTACCCACTGAGCCAAATTGGCTAGGGTTCACTTCTTTTATTTTGTTGGTTCTTGTAAAAAGATCCCCCTCCCCCATACAATTTCAATACTTCTCCCCCCCCCCAAAAGATTTAATTTTTCTTTTTTTAAACGTAGTTTTATTGATTTCAGAGAGGAAGGGAGAGGGAGAGAGAGATAGCAACATCAGTAATGAGAAAGAATCATTAATTGGCTGCCTCCTGCATGCAACGAGCCTGCAACCCAGGCATGTGCACTTGACCAGAACCGAATCCAGGACCCTTTTAGTCCACAGGCCGACACTATCCACTGAGCCAAATTGGAATTCTTGATATAGGAATCCGTGGCTCTTTCTCCATAATATCAGCATTGCTGATGAATTCATTTCTCGTTAATGCGCATTATCTCTACCACTTTCTCAGCCCTGAGATGATAATGTGTTTTTAGGGTACAGATTCTGAGTACATTGAAAGGAGATGCAAAATTTAAAGAAACATTAGGGATTAGTTTAGTAGAGTTAATTAAGAATTGCTAAGAATGAACCTCATTTATCTAGGGGAGGGGCATTTAAACAGTCCATTAGGTTACTCTTACTGACACAGAAATACATATTGCAATGAGGAGCTTCTTGAATAAGAGATTTCCAGCAATTTGATGTTGGGGATTTTTAATTGCCTGAAAAATTTTTTATAGCACTAGAAATAGTAATCCAAGTTGATAGATACTGTGATTGCCCCAAAAGAATAAAAATGTCTATCATTTGTGAAGGGGAGAGGGAGTAGAGGTGTAGAATGTGAAACACTATGGAATTGTTTGTTTGATAATGTCAGAGATACACTTAGATTAGTAAGGCTTTCTTACTGGGTGGTATATTAAGTTTTTATTATCTTTGTATAAAAAGACTAGACAGAAGCTTTTTTTTTCCTTTCCCTCTAGGATAGGAATGTTGGAGACAGGCACATTCTAAGACTAGTCTCTAAAATAATGGAGGATGAATGATTTCATTTTTATTTGTTTCATTGATTTTAATAAAAATCCAGCAAGTTGATTTTTCAATAACTACATTTCTATTGACCGTGTGTTTTTTGTTGTTGTTTATTTTTTTAAGATTTTATTTTTAAAGAAGCCAGTAAAGGAAAGAACAGGTCACTTAACATTGGGTCTTGTTGGATCTTGAGAATAAGGTTATGAAAATGAATTGAGAAAAGTCAGATATTCAGGGAGTGATTGTGCCTACTAGGTTCCATTAGTGTTAATGGATGTAAGTATTGAATTCCTTCTTAGGAGCAGAGCCTGCAGCCTTATTAATAAGGTGCTGTGTAGTCGTGCTGGTCTGCTTCAGGCTCTGATTTTCATTAGTTAATTTAAAGTTTCATTTCTAGATTTGTGCTTATAAATTATCCAAGAGATAGATCTTCTCCTTAGTTTTGTTTTGGGATAACAATGGAAAATTTTCTCCCTCCCACTTCCTGTGGTACAGCCAGTAAGTTTAGAATAATTTGTGTTGGAGACATGTAGATACTCTTTTCTTATATGGCTAGAGGTCATAGCTAACAAAGATAATTTTGTGTTATTTTTCTTTATAAACAGGTCTTATTTAGAATATAGATGTTAAATATCTTTTTCTTCAATAGCTGTTCGGTTTGGTCGTATTCCTAAGCGTGAAAAACAGAGGATGCTAATTGAAATGCAGAGTGCGATGAAGAGCATGATGAACAGCCAGTTCAGTGGTCATTTGCAAAATGACACATTAGTAGACCATGAACAGACAGCCTTACCAGCCCAGGAACAGCTGCGACCCAAGCCCCAGCTGGAGCAAGAAAGCATCAAAAGCTCTTCTCCTCCCTCTTCTGATTTTGCAAAGGAGGAAGTGATTGGCATGGTGACCAGAGCCCACAAGGATACCTTTTTGTATAATCAAGAGCAGCGAGAAAACTCAGCAGAGACCATGCAGCCCCAGAGAGAACGGATTCCCAAGAACTTGGAGCAGTATAATTTAAATCATGACCATTGTGGCAATGGGCTTAGCAGCCATTTTCCTTGTAGTGAGAGCCAGCAGAATCTCAATGGACAGTATAAGGGGAGGAACATAATGCACTACCCAAATGGGCATGCCATTTGTATTGCAAATGGACATTGTATGAACTTCTCCAATGCTTATACTCAAAGAGTATGTGATAGAGTTTCGATAGATGGATTTTCTCAGAATGAGAACAAGAATAGTTACCTGTGCAACAATGGAGGGAGAATGCATCTGGTATAGTGAAATCAATTTTTTTTTTTTTTTTGCTCACCTCGTATTAAGGAAAGCTTTGAAGGTTTTCTTCTATGTGGGGGATATACCTGCTTCAAGGGTGGGAGAGGGGGTGTCAAAACCTAAGAGTTTTACAGAATCAGTTTTGGGCAATATTTTAGGTCAGATGCTTTTAATAGACATCATTTGTTGAATGACCTAATTTTACACACAGGTACAAGCATGTGATTTGATTGATACTATGATTGGGATTAGGATTTTATGTAAAACATGGATCACGTAGAATTGGTCCTTTAATTCTTAGAAATCCCTTTCAAAATTTAAGCATTCTGATTAATCACTACCATACTAGCTTTGGGATTTTCTCTTTAAGGGCAGTAATTTCTTGATTTCTGTGGAGTTTTCTTTAACCATTATAATGCAAATAGGTCTTTGGATATAGAACATGGAAGTTTTATTGTGTTAGAATTTAGGAATATTTTAATTTAATAGGCAGCTTCTTAGGATTTTCTCAGACTTCATCCTATGAGATGAGTTAATGTTATTCATATCATTCAAGTTTTTTTCATCAAATACAACAGTCTACATGAAAGTACAGTGTTTATATTCAGCCAAAATTTCATCAAAAGCATCAGTACTGCACCATTTCCAGTTTAAATCACGAGGTCCTTTGATAGTGCTTGGTATTTCCCACAGCCAGGTAATTAAAGCCTTCTCTTTGTATTTTCAAAATAGTTGACTTACCTCAATCCTTATGTTAGAATTTTTGGTCGCTTGCAAGTATTTGATCCAATTGATCTGAAATGTGACCTTATGTTTTATTAGAATTAGTGGCTACCTTATGGAGGGAAAAAAATGATGGTTACAGAATCATTTCATTCCTGGATCTCATGGATTTAGTGAAAATTTAAAGGATGATTTTACAAATAGAGATTACAGCACATGCTTCCTAATCTTTTTAGTGTTTTCATGCCTTTAGCTTCCTATTTTTTCCTTCCCAATCCTCATTTAGAAGTTGCACCTTCTACTCCAGTCATTGTTTCCTATTGACTAAGTGGAGGTCAGTGCTTACATCATCGTTTATAAAATAGGTGATTAGTGATCTTTTTATTTATTTATTTTTTTGATTAGTGATCTTTTTTAAAAAAGTGAGGCAACTCACTATATTTTCCTCTTTGAAATCACAACATTGTAATTGTGACCATTTAGAAAAAAGTGAGTTTTGAAATAGTAACTATGAGCTTGAGTTCTAGGCCTGTGACTTTCAGCTTTATTTGGTAAGTCACTAAACATCTTAGAGTCTCATTTTCTCATCTAAGAAATTGTAATATCTGCCATAACTAATAGGATTCAGAAGTAAATATGTGTAATTATTTTTTAAACCATAAAGCCAGCATAAGATGGCAGCAGTGCTACAAAATGAACCCTTCAACCTGTGCAATGGGTTTTTGAAATAGCTTGTTACTGAGCTCATTTTTTGTGTAGGCTGCCTCTTGCGTGGTAACAAGTTAATTGCTATTTAAATAGGTTGCTGTGAGGCTTTTTGTCAAAAGGCAGAGTTTCCAAAAGAGAAAGTGTTATCAGTAGCACCTGAAGGTTATTTTCATGTTGGTGTTTCCAATGATGGAGATGCTACTTCTGAAATTTCTTTACCACCTCTCACAATTAAAGAGTTTTTCTGTTTTGTGCATCTTAGGTTTGTCCAATGAGTAAGTCTCCATATGTGGATCCTCATAAATCAGGACATGAAATCTGGGAAGAATTTTCAATGAGCTTCACCCCGGCAGTGAAAGAAGTGGTGGAATTTGCAAAGCGTATTCCTGGATTCAGAGACCTCTCTCAGCATGACCAAGTCAACCTTTTAAAGGCTGGGACTTTTGAGGTAGATTTTGTTAATCTTGAGTATGGATACACGGCATGTAGTATTTTATTTCCATGCATTTTACTTCTTTTCTAAATGAGTATTTGTAGTCCAGAGGCCGAAACTACCAACAAAAGGATGACCATTTCAGGATCTTGGGAGAGAGGCTAGCTAGGTAAATGCAATTCTTAGGACTTAAAATATGAATGATCTGTATTTCCAGCATACAAACTCCAGGTTCTAGGATTGCTTTTAGATGTGGACTTGGTGGGATCTGCAGAGTGATGGGCACCTACTGAAAGCCTAGCCTGGCGTTGACTGTACAGAATATGAAGGGTAACTAGAGTGTGGTCTTTTCTTTTAGGAGATTGTAGAATACGGGCTGGGGCAACAGTAGGTTTACAGTTGTGAGTATGAAAAATACAAGAATTTATTCTTGCATTATTATTTATTGCTGCATTTTCCACACAAACAACGGTAAACCTACTTTTGCCCCACCCTGTATTTGGTGGATGTATCAGACATCTCTTCCGTGCCAGCTCAGACTTTCTTGGCCTCATCTCACTCCAGAATCCATGGCTACTTTTTCTATTCCAGCTTCTCTTGTGCGATGCCTTCTGCCTGGGCTTGAGGCAGCCACGTTTGGCAAGTTTAGTAGGACACAGACAGTGCCTCTTGTGCTTAGGTGCCTAGGTGACTCTCACGGGTCTGCTCCATGGCTTCCCTATTGCTCTGAGGTATGAGAAGTCTCAGGACTTGATTGGAGCTCACTTGTGCATTATTCTGAAATGCAGGGTGGGAGGTGGGAGGTGGGAGGTGGGAAGTTGATGTCTGGTGGGTGAAATCTTTGATTCTTGGGAGTAGGGAGCCATTTCTCCATAAAAGTCCCACATGATTGAGCTCTTAGTTTTTCTTAGTAAGTGGTGGCTAGCTCAGTAAATGTTGCTAATATCTGCTCTCTTTGCTTCCCTATTCCATTTCCTTTTTCCCTACTCTTTTTTTCACATATGCCAGTGCACACCCCACATAAACTTTTACCTTAGGCTCTATTTTCTGGGGCACCTGGACTAGAACAGAGAAGAAAGAAGCCTTGTTCATGAATGAAATATCTATGGTTTATTAAAAAATAACACCTATAGGTTAGGATTTTCAGTTTAAAGGAAAACATTACACTTAAGATTTAAAGCCACAAGGTGTGTCAGTGATCAATTCACTTTTTTTAAAAATTGATTAAAGTATTACATACCAATTCACCCATTTTTGAAGTTAAGTAACTACAGCCCAGAGAGATGAAGAGACTTTTCTTGGACTACCAGTAAATTCGTCACACAGTCAGGGCTGGAACACAAACCCCCAATTCCATGTCTTGGGTTCTTTCCTCGGTGTGATTTGCCTTGGGATTGCTGTATTCTAGGTAGCACCATCTTCATAGAAGGCTCGCCCTCTTTTGGATTGTTTTGGGTAAAACAAGTCTTTGCTTGGGAGCATTGCAAAGAGAAGGTGGTCAGTATTCCGCTGATGATGAGGGAAATATGTGACAGATGTCACCATTTAGTATAGTGGACGGCGTGCTGTGGGTAAGCAATGGTTGACTGGTTTGGTTTGGATTTTGATTCTAACTTGGTGTATAGACCACTTTTACTATAATAGTTGTCTTTGTATATTGTCTCTTTGGGCTATGATTTCTTGAAATGGTCTAATTAGAGTTCATCTGTTGCATATGCCTTGGCTGCATTTGATGTTTTGATATTTCCAAGTGTTACTGCATTGAAATATTGCTTTTTTATTCAGGGCTTAGAGACTGTGAGATATATTTGATAACTTAAAGAGTTTCTTTAATGCCTTTGGCCAAGGCCCAGTTTCAAATTTCTTGGCATTATTGCTTGCTTTAATTTTGTATTTGCATTTCAGAATCTTTATTGATAGAGTATCAGAGGACTTAAGTATTTTGCTACTGGTTGCTAGAAATTAAAAAAAAAATCTCCTTGGAATTTTTCCTGCTTTGGTAGAGAATTTGCCTTAAGGAAATGATTCTGGGTAAAATAAACTCAGCTTTTCCTTTACAGGTTTTTTATATGTAGAATGTTTTTAACTGACTTGAATACTGAGGTATTTCTTAGTACTGGTATTGAACTTCTTCAAATATACCTGAATCTTTTTCTTTTTCCAGGTTTTAATGGTACGGTTTGCTTCATTATTTGATGCAAAGGAGCGTACTGTCACCTTTTTAAGTGGAAAGAAGTATAGCGTGGATGACTTGCACTCAATGGGAGCCGGGGATCTGCTGAATTCTATGTTTGAGTTTAGTGAGAAGCTGAACGCTCTCCAGCTTAGCGATGAAGAGATGAGTTTGTTTACAGCAGTTGTCCTGGTATCTGCAGGTAAGCAAGCTGGTTCAAAACTGTGCCACACCTAGAATATAATGACCAACTGGGGAGAAGGTAGCAGTTAACGAGGTTGTGGAATAACAGCTGTGAGAACTAAGTAGCGAAGCTGTAAGTAACTGGCACAGCAGAAAGTCAGTGTAACTTCTTAGGTAGAGGAACAATCTTGCACGAACAAAGTGATGCTTTAACATTACTTCTGCATTGTTATCTGGGTGGCTTAGACAGGCGAGTCATTAGAGCTGGAGAGTCAGGTGGAGAGGCTGTTGAAATAACTCTAGGTCTGAGGCAGTGGAATAAGCACTTCTGAAACAGGTTGTGGCAGAGGCGGTGGAGGAGGAGGACTATATCCAGAGAAACTTGAGGAAGAAATGAAGGCAGGGGGTGAGGCAGAGCTCTATGCTAGGAACTCTGCTACTACCGTCATTTGTATTTTCCACCAGGACCATAATTTTTATTTTGTTTTAATCTCCTTTTGAAAAAGCCTCGTTCTGTTTCTTGACCATAAGAATAATCTGAGTTCTTTGAAAAATTGAAAATAGTAAGATGAAATAAGGGTGATAATATCACTACCAAAAAGATAACATTAGGAGTCTCTTGCTATCCATTCTGCTATCTCTGCATTTATCCACTTGCCTGCTTATTGATATATGTTATGTAAAAAATGTTGGACCTAGCCCTAACCGGTTTGGCTCAGTGGATAGAGCGTCGGCCTGCGGACTCAAGGGTCCCAGGTTCGATTCTGGTCAAGGGCATGTACCTTGGTTTCGGGCACATTCCCAGTAGGGAGTGTGCAGGAGGCAGCTGATTGATGTTTATCTCTCATTGATGTTTCTAACTCTCTATCCCTCTCCCTTCCTCTCTGTGAAAAAAATCAATAATATATATATATATATATATATAAAAGTTGGACTTATTAAGTGGAAAACTTTAGAAAAGAATATATGCATTCTTGTTTTTGTTATGTTTATATAAGAAGATATACAAGAAATACACTTACATGCACAATTCCGTGCATTTTAAAATAATATGTTTTCACTTAAATATATGATAGTATTCATGTCAAATTTAAATCTTTACCACTTATAAAGGACTGATGTTATTGTTAAAGCATTATCTAGACAAGAAAATAAAATTCAGGAACTACCGAAGAGTATTAAATGAAAATTCTCTCCTTCCTTCTGCTACTCCGAGCCTGTTCTTCAGAGAACTATATTTCTAACCATCTTTCATTTTGATTGTTCTGATGGTTGCCTACCCAACTCTAAATACTATGCTTATACCTCTTTTTATTTACTAGCTATAACTAATAAGTAAAAGTATCCTCTCACTTTTCCTCTCAATTTTTACAAATTTTACTTTTTCAGTTATCGTATTGGTTTTATTTATAATTTCAACATGCTCACATTTAAAAATAAATTCTCACCTGAGGATATTTTTCCTTTGATTTTTTTTTCTTTTTTCTTTTTTTTTAGAGAGAGAATGGAACGGAGGGAAGGAGGAGAGGGAGGAGAAAGTGATAGAGATAGAGAGAGAGAGAGATAGAGAGAGAGAGAGAGAGAAACATGAATTGAGAGAGACATATAGTAGACCAGTTGCCTCCCACACTTCCTGACGGGGCTGGAAATTGAACCAGATTGTGTGAAATGGCACCAGTCTCTTTTAGTTGAAGATTAGGGACTGGCATGTAGGTATGAGACCAAGGCTCATACAGATTTTAGTTGTCCTCATAGAGGTTTTTGTTGAAGGAATTTAACTTCCATCCTGTGGGAAGAGAATGTGCATAAAGAGGAGATTTGGTGAGGAGTACAGGCTTGGGAGAGGGAAGCAGCAGCAGCCAAGGAAGTAGACGTTGGATGTGTCAGAGTTAAACTGCATAGTGTAGGATTTAGTGCATCATTTAGAAGATGAATTTCCACTTTAGGCTGTGTATTCTGTTACAGTTTCTAGAGGGTTATTGTTTTACGATCTAGCTAGATTTGTAGTTAGGTTCTTTGGCCTCTTAATCATGAAAACATGGTTTTAGAAATTGAGGTTTTAGAAAAACATAATATGATTTACATCATTAGTTGTAGGTATCCATTTCCATGAAGTTCTGAGTTGTATAGAGAAGCATAGGTGATCCAAACACAAAACATTCACCAGAAGACAACCACTTCCAAAACTCAAACATCCTTCCCCACTTACTGTTTGTTTCTTTCTTTGCCCATCGAGATTATTTTGCTTGTGGGATCACTGTCATTCTTTTCCAGTTGTTGTTATTGTAAGTTACTGATGATATAATGCACACCAGTTACTTTCTTCTGCCAAAATATGAGCTCTGTAAAGGAAGGAATTTTGGGTTATGTTCACTACTAATTCTTTAGCACCTATCACAGTAACCACCTACATTCAATAAGAGTTTGGTGAATGAATTAATAAATTGCAAGGATGTTAAAGAAAACAGTTAGTTGGATATTAAAGGCAGCGGTAACTTGTAGAAGCATTGTTAAAAACTTTAGTTAATTTTGCAAAGATGACCCTTATGGATTGTATGACCAACATCAAATGTCAAGAGAAAAGAGGTCTTTTATTCATTGGACAATTTTGTCTGACAAATTATGACACCCCCCAAACCAATAGTCAACATTCATTTGTGTGCTTTTTCTTAAGAATTACCAGATAGTTCAAATCAGTAGTCACCAATTTGTTTCTTTTTCTATAAGAATTAGTGCAGCCGTAACCGGTTTGGCTCAGTGGATAGAGCGTCGGCCTGCGGACTGAAGGGTCCCGGGTTCAATTCCGGTCAAGGGCATATACCTTGGTTGCGGGCACATCCCCAGTAGGGGGTGTGCAGGAGGCGGCTGACCGATATTTCTCTCTCATCGATGTTTCTAACTCTCTATCCCTCTCTGTAAAAAATCAATAAAATATATTTTAAAAAAAAGAATTAGTGCATAGTATTGATAATAATCCAAGTTTATTAAATGTAAGATAAGCCTATTTTCATTATTTTTTCTGCATTTAGAGTTAAACTGTTTTTCCTTTACTATTAAATTTTAGTCCTTGTTCTAAGTATTTGTATTGCAAATGGCTTTTTAAGCTATCAGTTACAATGGAAGACTTCCTTAATGTCCTTGTAAAAAATGAAAAAGGGTATAAATGGCCAGAGAATTTTGTTTCCTTGGAGAAGTGTTTTTCTTATTAATTACAACTCCCTATACTGGGAGCCATTGACTATTTCTTGCACACTACTGCCTCCTATTGTAAAGGGAAGAAATAGCCCTCGATGATGAAAAAAGTCAATGGGCAAACAACATAGGTTTGGCTAATTTTAAGATACTTTTGTTTTAAAAGATACTTCCTTTTATTGCTAGTTTATTAAACCACTTATTTATTATTGGTATGATGAGCTTAATAAACAGTTTGCTTAATGAAAGTGCATGCAGGTTAATATAGGCATTAAAGTTGCATAGTATATTAGCTATCTATTACTGTACAACAAGTGACTCTAAAACTTAGTGGCTTAAAAATGTGTACATTTATTTCCCACAGTTTCTGAGGGTTAGGGGTATGGTGTGGCTTGGATGTGTGCTCTGGCTCCAGGTTTCTTAGGAAGTTGTAGCCAGCTCTGGGCAGGGCTTCGATCTCATATGAAGGCTCTACAAGGAAGGGTCTGCTTCCAGGCTTATTCACAGGGTTGTTGGCAGGATTCAGATCCTTGCACGATGTTGGACTGAGTGCCTCTGTTCCTTGCTGGCTGTTGGCTGGAGACCAACCTCTGTTCCTTTGCACTGGGCCACTCCGTAGGGCAGCTCACAGCGTGGCATCTGGCTTTGTGAGTGCCTAAGATAGAAGGTACATTTAAAAAAAAAATTTAAATTTAATTTACTTAAAATAATTTATTTTTATTTTGATTATATTTTTAGAGAGAGAGGTAGGGAGAGGGATAGAGAGATAGAAACATCGATGAGAGAGAGACATCATCAATCGGTTGCCTCCTGCATGCACCCCTACTGGGGATCAAGCCCACAACCCAGGCATGTGCCCTGACCAGGGATTGAACAGGTGACCTTTTGGTTCCTGGGTTGACGCTCAACCACTGAGCAACACCAGCCGGACAAGGAAGTTACAGTTTTTTTGGTAATCTAATATTTTGTTCATTAGTGATGAGTCAGGAAGTTTAGCCCACTCAAGGGAAGAGGAATAGATACACAAGGACAAGGATACCAGGACGAGGAGGTCACTGAGGCTCTTTTAGAGGCAGCCTACCACACATGGTAGCATGCAAATGTGGGTATATTCCATATGAGGTGCAATTATATTTCTGAACCGCACTGTTCATTTTGTTTTGCCAATTAGCAGTTAAAATGAGCAGGTAGCATCTCATTTTTTAAAAATCAGAACCTCAAGTATCAAGTGTACCAGGTGATACATATCTATAATACAATAAATAGCTATAAAAATTTGCCACTGGGATTTAAAAAACTTTGTCAGTTATCTTTTGCCTGTGTTCCAATGTATGAAATCTTGTTTTGAATTCATTAATGCAATCGATGAACAGGAATTATGTGTATTTTGAATGTCAATAATATATCCTCTCCTTATTTCTCTATTCCTTACTCTGCATTAGATCGATCTGGAATAGAAAACGTCAACTCTGTGGAGGCTTTGCAGGAAACTCTCATCCGTGCACTAAGGACCTTAATAACGAAAAACCACCCAAATGAGGCCTCTATTTTTACAAAACTTCTTCTAAAGTTGCCAGATCTTCGATCTTTAAACAACATGCACTCTGAGGAACTCTTGGCCTTTAAAGTTCACCCCTAAAGGCCTTCATTTATTTAACATGAACTGAGTCATATTAACTGTACATTTGTGCTAAAATGCTTATTTATATGTGTATACTGTACCATATGTGGAGGTAGGAAGGCCTTTAAGAAACACAAGATTGTAGGCCATCTCTTTGTCATGCAGTAGCTGTTTGGATTGAGATTTTTTTCAGCTATGATTAGACGACCGCATTTCCCTGGTAGACCAATCAGCTGTGTCGCACTTAACTGGAGAAGTTACACTGAATTATAGTTACACTGAATGTTAGACTTTTTCATCTGCCAAAACCAAAAACCATTTTCATCTCCCTGTGGTATAAATGTAATGCACAGTCCCAAGTATATGAGGACTTAAAAGTTAATCCTTTGTGGTGGAGGTTCTATTGTAGGATGGAAACTTGATTTTACCACAAGACTATTGGATCTGGTGATTGGAGACTTTGTAGGTGAGGAGATTTCCCTGTCTATTTTACTCTGCCACTGTTAAAGTGTATGATCCTGGGCAGGTTGGTTGGTTGTGGGAAATGAGAATTGACAATGTTTCCAATGCCTCACCTCACAGAAATTCTAAAAAAATGTCTATAAAGCATATTTACCTCCTGGGAGATAGGCACTATGTAAATAAGGTAAAATTTTTGTTAGTATAATGATTCATTATAATATTCTTTTCTGATTTGTAAGCATTTCTTAGAAATGATTTCATAGTCCACACCAATCTATTCAGGGTTCCTGCATATGTGTGAGGTATCATCCTGGCACATACACACACAAAATTTATGGGTACATCAGATACATAGTATGTGTACATAAGATGTATGTGAATGTGGTTATACCTATATTTCTTCACAATATTTTAAGCTGTGAAGAACTTTATCATACAATAAACTTAAAAGAAGAGGTGTCAAAAGACCCAAATTAGGTGCATTTTACCTATTGATGACATAACCATTGCTTTAAATGTTTAGACAGTAGAATATTGAATTTATGCTCTATTTTTGTTTAAGCAGCACTTAATGTAAAAATGCAACAGGCAATCGAGTCCAAATTTCAGAAAATATGTACTTTAGAGTTCACCTTTGGTAAAAGTTTTGGTTCAAGGGAATAGTTGTTTAAAAGTTTATTCAGATTCTTACCTTGAGCTAAAAAAGGTAACATTGCTGCCCCTTATACACATGCTGCAGCTTGATGATAAATAATATTTTGATTCATTCTGAAGAACCAGTCAATGTTTAAGAAAGTTGTTTAATATGTTGGTGTGTGTGTGCGCGCGCACAAGTGTGTTCTGAGTCTACTCTTCCCCACTAAACACTACAGGGATTTTATCAAATTAGATTTAATCTATAATTAGGAAAATCATTTAGTATGTGACTTACAGGTTTAGAAGTGGTATAGTCAAAAACATTTCATTCACCTTTTTTGGGCTTTATTAAATAGGTAAGATCAACCTTTTTATAGAAGTAGGAGAAATAGCCAAAGTTGAGGATTTTATGTGTTTTTCTGTTTCCCTAGAAAATAGCAACTAATTGTTTTTTTGGGGGGGGGGGAATAAAGATTGCCTTCTATATAATTTTTGGATTACATAAATTTTCAAAAATGAAAAGAGCCCACTTTACTATACTCAGCCTGTTACTTTAATGACGTGAGCAGAATGCCTTATTTTGTAATCTTGTTTAACTTGTTGCTGTGGGTACTTGAATTCCTGTGGCACTGGTTAAGTAAGTTAAAAATAAAGTTAAACCCTCTCATTATTAAAGAGGAAAGGTGATGGTGATGTCTATAATACAATATAAACCATAATTGTGATTTACCTTAAATAGGTATGACTCTTATGGGATATACAGTATAGTTTTGTGAATTCTTTACATGATAGCATTATCTTTTTATAATTTTTCCCCCTGAGATAAATACATAGTTTTCTTCTATGGGGAATAGAAACAGCTTTTTGAAATAATACTGAAAACCTCAAAGATCATCTTGATTCTTAATTTTTGCCTTTTGCATAAGTGGCTTTATAACATGTATCTTTAAAACAATTACTAAGTCTTTAGGAATGTGTAACCAGAACTGTGTTAGTATTGCTTATAAAACCTTAGTTAGGTTCAATATATACATGTATACGTCGATGTATAGGTATGTAGATTTGCATTTTGTCTTGTAAAATTTTATTTGAATGAATTCTTCCTGTAGGTAATGGGAAACAAAATTAATAATTCATGTGCCACTCATAGCATTTCTATATTTGAAAATAGCCCAACATTGAAACTTCTAATTCTAAAATTAAACCAGCAGCCTATTACAAGCACATTCTTTGATTGGGTCATTGGTTATAAACTTACTAAATGCAGAGAAGACAAACTAGTTTTAGGAAACTTCTGAGTTTTAGGAAACTTCTGAGTCGGTGGGACGCTGTTGATAAATTAATATTGTACTGTATGAATTAAGTGATGCTTTAACTTGTGATTTTTACATTTTAAAGTTAAAATATGGGCATTATGTCAGCACACTTAAGGGCATTATGTTAGCAAGCTAAAACTTTTTTTTTCCCCCTGTGCTTTTAATGTGTCTCTTTATATGATCTGAGAAGAGGATTCAAGCTTTTAGAGAGAAATAGCTGAGGGAAATGGGTAACATCTTCTTGGAATGCAGCTTTTTCTTATGGCAATGGTTTAATTACAGATTAAAAAATTAGAAGGATTAAGTGTATAGTTTTCATATCAACATTTCAAGAAATTACCATTGTAACTTGATAAGATATGAGTTATTTTATGTAAACATCATTGCAAGGCAAGGTGTAGAAGCTCAGCTAGATTTATTACTGTGCACGAGAGTAAGTACCTATCTCAATTATTCTTTTTCCTTTCCAATATAAAGTTTGCTGAATGTACAAGAAGAGTTTATTACTTAGGATATAGAATTTTTTTTTAGGGGTTGGGGGGAGGGGTTCTGTCAAGAAATGACCTATAAGCAAAGATTATCTTGATTTGATCTGAAACAAAACTTGAAGTTATTCTTGGACTAACATGGAAAAATAAAATGGCTATTGTTTTAAAAAAAATGATAGAAATATATTGTTGATGAGATATGAATTAAGTTTATTTTCTACAAACTGTTACTGATGAGGACATGGGTAATACCTTCCATGTTTCTGAAAAGTAATCTGTACATGGGGGGAGGGGATAATAAATATTATTTCTAACCAAGTGTGGTTTTTGGTATCTTTTTATCTCGATGTTTTTGTAAGACCATTTATAATTTATCTTACACTTTTCCTTGAACGTAGCAGGATCTCTTATGTAAATCTTTAACTTAGCATAGGGGAATGTCTGTGTAAAGCTTTTTTTTTTTTAACAGTTTGACAGTTTTTAAATACATATTTTTATTGATTTCAGAGAGGAAGGAAGAGGGGGAGAGAGATTGAAACATCAATGATGAGAGAGAATCATTGGCTGCCTCCTGCAGACCCTGTACTGGGAATTGAGCCTGCAACCCGGGCATGTGCCCTTGATGGGAATCGAACCCCGGGACCCTTCAGTCCGCAGGCTGACGCTCTATCCACTGAGCAAAACTGGCTAGGGTGCACATTTTTAAAAAGGTTTTAGAGTTTGTAGAGATTCCAGCAAGGACTGTTTTCTGCAATGCCAGCTGGTAGTGGCTCACTATAACTGATAAGGCAGTCTTTCTGGGAAGGAGTTGTTGAGAGGAGGGAGTGACTTGATCTAGTCAAGAATCAGTCTCGGCCATGAATGGGGTAAGGTGCCTCAGCACCTGCCTCCACTCCCGACCCCCTTTCCTTTCCTAGCGGCTGTGGCCATGCTGGGGAAGTAAAGGCAGTTACATAGAACGCATTCTCTGTGTTGGTTTCCCAGGCAGTAACGTCTACCATTTTTCTGGGGATACTAAGTGATGTTAGGTGGAAGAAAATGGGCTTCTTGTTTAAATAAATTGGGAAATGCCAGGATAAACAGGGTCACTGAGGTGTCTTTATGTCAGTCCTGTTCTCTGACGGGCGAATGTGCATTGTGAATCCTTTGAGGTAGTGTTTAGTGGGATGCAGTATTCCCCAAACTTCCTCCGCTAAATTACCTCCTCCCCTCTTCTCTGTGCTAAGCACTTCTTGGGGCTGCTTAGAAGGGGTGCTTCCAGGAGAAAAAACTTTGTAACCTACTTTGGGAGTTGATCACGATGTTGACCATATTCTGTGGGTTGTTACATACATTTGTGTTGTATTTTGTCCCCCGTTTTCTACAGTATAATAGGAAACATTGAGCTCTAAGCAAGTGTGTGGTGGATGGGAAATAGGTTAAATTCCTTCTGAATCTGGAAACGCTGCATGAATAGGGACAGCCAATTCATGGATCTGGTTTTAGTTTTTACACTCAGTTGGGCCTGTTAAAATTTTGACATTAACTTTCTTAATTGTTAGTCTGTCTAAAAGTGTGTTTGACAGCTGGCCAGTGCACTAGCAGCCATGTGAGTTGCTCTTCACAGTGGGAAGTGGTTGCCCTGGGGTGGTTTTTCAGACACCAGAGTATCAGGGCCACTTAGAACAAGACCGGGTGGCATGTGTGTAGTAGCGGGAAGGGCAGTCTGGAGGAAGCGCAGAACCTCTCCAGATGCTTTCGGTGGGCACGTTCCCCACGTAACTGACAGTCAAGACGGACTCTGGTGACCTCGACCTTCACATACCACTGATTTCCAGTAACAGCCTTAGGAGAATCTAAGCAAGTGATGAAAGATGACCAAGTCCACATCCCATCAACAGCGCCTCAAACAAGAAAGCACGGGGAAGGTCCTCAGTGTTCTAGTGGAGCCATCATGGTGTGCGTCTATCACAAAGGGCAGAAATAGTCGGCGTGGCGCTTCCTGCTAGTAAAAATAACAAGTCCCCAAAAGGGTAGGAAGAATTCCCTGTCTTTTGAGATTTAAATATTCTCAACATTGAGGACGGAGGCTACCTTTCTAGTTGTGATTCTGCTTTTCAATGACCTTCAGGAGGTGCCTTCACCTTGCTGGGTTCGTTCCCTTCTATAAAGTAAGGGATTGGACTGTATGCCCTCCAGCAACCTTCTAGGGCTAACAGTTGTGATACGATGATATGTAAACAACACAGTTGAAAAAATTATAGAATGTGTTGTGGGTGGTTGGGGGCCAGAAACACGGTTCCCGTAGCTAAAGGTTGACAGATCACCCTTGTCTTAACCTGGTGTGACATTGCACACAGCCGGCCATCTGCCCACGGTCCTGGTGGTATGACTCCCTACTCCTTTGCCCCTGCCTCAGTGCTCAGGGCTCCTGGTACCTTTACTCAAGGTCACCTCTCAAGACTGTGGGACAGGATGTGTGCGGGCGGGGGAGTTGTATGTAGGTGAAACTGGGGAAGGTCAGAAAACATGAGGAACGGCGGGAAACCCCTGGCTCAGCGGCACTGAGCTCACCTGTCAGTTCTCCAGTAGGTCCTGAATTTTTAGGTGAACAGTTTATGCTCAAGATGAGCTCTTTCCTGCACAGCAGCACCTTCTAATTTCGATCCTAACAAAAATGTCAGTTTTTGTAGTAAAAGAGTGTAAAATATTTTAGAGTTGATTCTCTCATTTCTTCCCCTAATTCTTTTTAATTCCCTCAAGGAAGTCAGGAACATTTTTGCCATATAAAACCCAAACGTTCAGACACTTCCAAGACTCATAGCTGGCAAAGTCAAAAGATTTTTATAGTGAACACCCACCTATATTTTGCCATTAACATGTACTTGTTTATTACATATCTATATTTCCATTCATTCATCTTGGGGTTTTAGAAAATGCATTTCAAAGTAAATTGCAGTCATCAATAACCTGCCCCCTAAAATTTTCAGCTTACATATAATTTACTAAAATTGAGTATTAATTTACAGTTCGTTCTTTTGGTGCTGATTATGAATTTGGGCCCAGTTAACCATGAGGGATCCTTTCCAGCAGGTATATATATATATTTTTTCCTTTATTGATTAAGGTATTACATATTTCTTTTTTAAAAAAATATGGTTTTATTGATTTCAGAGAGAGGAAAGGAGAGAGAGAGAGAGAGAAATATCAACAAGAGAGAAACATCCATCAGCTGCCTCCTGCATGCCCCCTACTGGGGATCAAGCCCACAATCTGCCTTGACCGGTAATTGAACCAGCGACCTCCTGGTTCATGGAACGATGCTCAACCACTGAGCCACACCAGTTGGGCCCAGCAGGTATATTCTTTCTTGGGGTTCACACCTACGAGGGAAAGATCTGTTTTAGGCCTCTCTCCTTGGCTTGTCGATGTCTGTCTTCTCCTGTGTCTTCATATCATCTTCCCTCTGTATGCTTCGGTGTCCAAATTTCCAGTTCTTATAGTCAGACTGGATTAGAGCTCACCCTAAGTGACCTTGTTGTAACTGAATTACCTCTTTAAAGAGCCCATCTTCAAATATAGTCATGTTCTTAGGTACTGGGATTTAGAACTTCAACACAGATTTTTTTTTGGGAAGTCACAGTTGAGCCCACAACACTTGGGAACCCTGGTCATATAATTTATGGGTCCGTCTTTCCCCCCACTCCCCAACTGTGAGCTTATAGAGAGGTCAGGGACTGGGTCTTTCTTGCTTTTATAGCTCTGGTGTCCTAAAAAATGCCCAACAGTCTCTCAATAAATTATTTAAATTGATTGACTATTGATGGAGGAGCTTTTTTTTTTAAAAATTAAATCTTCATTGTTCAGATTATTACAGGTCCTAAAAACCCAACAGTCTCTCAATAAATTATTTAAATTGATTGACTATTGATGGAGGAGCTTTTTTTTTTAAAAATTAAATCTTCATCATT